CGGTGGAAGCCCCAGCTAGTGATCATATGGCTCTCTACGTAAAGATTAAAATTACTAATCATAGCAGCAGGAAGAAGAGATTCAAATTTGAGAACAACTGGGCAAAGGAGGATGAATGCCAACTGGTTGTCACCAATAGCTGGAGGGCAGCCGACCACTTGAATATCACTGAGAGGATCACTTTCTGTGGAAAGGAGCTCCTGAGGTGGGACAGAGGTAGGCAGCGGGGTTTCAGACACCAGATAACGGCTTGTAAGAAGAGGTTGGCCTGGCTACGAGGCAAAGAGGACAGAGCGTGCTAGAATTTCTGAAAACACGGACAGTGCTTCAAACCTTATTGGAGAAGGAGAATACATTCTAGAAACAAAGGGCGAAAGAATTATGGCTCAAAGAAGGAGATATTAATTCTCGATTTTTTCAGAACGCCGTCAGGCAACGCCGAAGGAAGAACAAAATGCTAGGCATCAAACAGGCTGATGGGACTTGGGTTACGAACAAGGAGGACTTGAGCTCAATTGTCATGAATTATTTTATTTCTCTTTTTCAGGCCCCGGAGGAGAATCGAACGATGGAAATTCGTGGCGATTTTGCACAAGTTTCTGACAGTCAGAATGAGTCACTCCTAAATCCGATTAGTCCAGAGGAGGTTAAAGAGGCGATTTTTGACATGCATCCGGAGAAGGCACCGGGATCGGATGGGATGAACCCGTCATTTTTTCAGACCTACTGGGATGTTGTCGGCCCGGAGGTTTCGCTGCTTTGTGCTAAAATGTTTGAATCAGGTATTCTGGCTAACATAATTAATACTACTAATATTATATTAATTCCTAAAAAAGATAAGCCGGACTGTATGGGGGATTGGAGACCAATAGCGCTGTGTAATGTGGTTTACAAAATCTTCTCAAACGTTTTGGCCAACAAATTGAAAGGTATCCTGAACTATTTAGTCGGAGAAAGTCAAAGTGCTTTCATACCGGGAAGGTCTATTATTGATAATATTATTGTGGCTTTTGAGACACAACATTATCTGAAGAGGAAGAGTAATGGGAAGGAGGGATATGTCGCTCTTAAACTTGATATTAGTAAGGCTTATGACAGAGCGGACTGGCTTTTTCTAGAAAACATTTTAATCAAAATGGGGTTTAGTAGACGATGGGTGCATATGATGATGGAGTGTGTTAGGACGGTCAATTATTACATCCAGTTTGATGGTGATTTTTTGGGCCCTATTTCCCCCGGGAGGGGGTTGCGCCAGGGAGATCCTCTTTCACCTTACCTTTTTATCCTGGTCGCGGAGGGACTGAGTGCGTTGATTCAAAAGGCTGAACAGCGAGGAGAGATTCATGGAGTTGCAGTGTGCAGGGGTGCTCCACGGGTTTCACACTTATTTTTTGGTGATGATAGTTTTGTATTTTTTAAAGCCTCATCTCATGAATGCAACACTGTGAAGGAGATTTTGAAGGAGCATGAGAAGAATTCAGGGCAGGTGGTTAATTTTGCTAAATCCACCTTGACATTCAGCAGCAACGTAAACACAACTTTCAAAGAATATGGATGTATTTTTTTGGAGATTTGCAGGATGGAGGAAATCAGAAGTATCTCGGGCTCCCGAGCCTGGTGAGGCGAGGAAAATCCGCTATTCTTAGATTTCTTTGGGATAGAATTTTTCAGAGGATAAAGAGTTGGAAGAACCGCTTCTTATCCCGAGCTGGAAGGGCAGTGTTGTTGCGGAATGTAGTGCAGGCTATGCCCACTTATGCCATGAATGTCTTTCTGCTTCCTCAGGACTTATGTGATGAAATTGAAAAATTAATGAATGGTTTTTTGTGGAAGGGCTCAAAATTTGATCAATGAGGCATCAGATGGAGACGCTGGGAGCTTATGTGCAAACCGAAAGGGATGGGAGGCCTGAGGTTTAGAAAATTGAAAGAATTTAATATTGCTATGTTGGCTAAGCAGGGATGGAGGCTCCTTTCTAACCCAGACAATTTGATGGGGCATGCCTTAAAGTCGAGATACTTTCCGCACTCGGATTTCTTGAAAGCCAAGCTGGGGAGTAATCCATCCTATATATGGCGGAGTATCCTGGAGACACAGGAAGTACTAAAAAATAATTTGAGACGACGAGTTGGAAATGGCAGGGAGGTTCAGGTATGGGCGGATGCTTGGTTGCCAGGCCCGGGGAATGGTAGAGTCCAATCGGCAAAACCGGCTGGTATAGCAGACATGAATGTAGCGGCCTTAAGAGATATTACAGGTTTAAAGTGGAATCAGAACAGGATAGCTGATTAGCTTCCATCTTTATTGAGGAGGAGAGCAAAGTTATTAATAGCATTCCAATCAGTTTACAAGATAAAAAGATGGATTTTGGTGGAATAAAGAAAAGAGTGGTGTTTTTTCTGTCAAAAGCTGCTATAGGGCCTTGATGCAAGGAGCGGCGATCGAAGGTTGGAACGGATGGAAAGAGTTATGGGATCTCAAAAAACCCCCTAAGGTGAAATATTTTATTTGGCAGGTTTTGGACGGTACCCCACCATCGTTAGCAAATCTCGAAAAAAAGTGCGTGCAGGTTCAAAACACCTGTCAACTATGCTTGCAGGGGGTGGAAATGACGGATCATGCACTATGGCACTACCAAAAGGTGGCTGAGGTCTGGACGACAGCCGGAGTGGACATCGGCAACATTGAGGTTTCTTTGAAGGATTGGCTACAAACGGAGTTCATGGCTCCGGATAAGGAAAGAAGATGCAAGATAGCTTTACTTGCGTGGAGCCTGTGGAAGCGGAGGAACACGTTCATTTGGGAAAATGAATGGCAAAACACGACCGGTGTTATTAACTGTAGTGCCAGTGTGCTGCAGGCATGGAGGGAAGCACAACAGATGCCTGCTAGATCGGGGCATAGCGAGAGAAGCTCAGAGGTGGAGTCGACCGAGATTAGGAGGCATCAAAATTAATGTAGACGCGGCAGTTGATAGCGCCAGAGGAATCCGAGCTTGGGGCTGGCTAACCAGGAATGAACAGGGCGAGTTTGTGAAGGCGGCGGGGGGGGGGGGGGGGGGGGGGGGCTTCGTTCAAGGCGGAATGGTCTCCGGCGGAATCCGAAGCAGTAGGGTTGCGTGAAGCAGTTCTGGAGGTTATAAAGGAAGGCTGGGAGAATGTGGAGATTGAGTCAGATGCTCAAGTTATTGTGCGGGGAGTTCAGAAGGGAGGAGGCTCTACTTATCTGGATCTGATTATTGATGATATTCGTTCTCTTTTACAGACAAAGAGTAGTTATGAGATCTCTTTTTGTAAACGATATGCGAATCGTGCGGCTCATGCTCGAGCAAGAACGCATGCTGCTCTCTCAGATCAGTCGTTTAGCTATGGTTTTATATCGGTTTGTATTGTAAGCCAAGTGGCTAATGATTTATTATAGGCTAAAGGGTCAAATAGGTCCTTGTACCCTTTCAGATTGCTCAATTTGCCCCCTCAATCCAAAAAACTCCAATTGGCACCCTGAACTCGATAAAAATATTCAAATTTCACTTTTTGCAGGTTTCAATCCGGTCACCGCCACGTCACCCGGTAGGGTGCCAACTGTGCATGTGACGTGGCAACTTAGGGGATCAAATAAGCCCCTGAACTCGATCGAATTGTTCAATTTACCCCCTCAACCCTAAAAAATGTCAAAAAAAAATTAAGGGTTGAGGGGGTAAATTGAACATTTCAGTCGGGTTCAGGGGCAACTAACGTCGTCGTTGCATCATAATATCCCATTTTTTTAGAAACTTGTATAACTTTTTTATTTGTTCTCCAAATTTTTCAAAATATAAATCAAAATTCTTAAAATTTTATTATCTTTCACATGACACCAATATGTAATATATAAAATGAAACAAAAATTCTTAAATTTTAACTGTTCAAGTTTTCTTCAGTCTAAAAAACGATGAAACACAAATTTTCAATTCATGGAATCTTCAAAAATAACTGAATATTTCATAATCGAACTTTACTTGAACTAAGTTCATTTTTGTTAACCGAAAACATCAAAAAAATAATGAAATGTATTTATTTTTTTATCGAAATGTGTATTTTTATTTCACAATTATTTAGGGAAAATATTAAACGGAAAACATTATTTTATTTATAATAAATTAATTATTTTTTTATTAAATTGATATTTAAAAAAATATGTTGAACGTATTTTATTAACGGTACACGGATGCAGGGAAAAACAGTAGGGAGATTTACCTAAATAGTACCAAAACATGGTTTTTTCCCCAAAATAGGACCAATTAGTTTAAACATTCTTAAATAGGACTTTTTATGTGTGATTGGACCAAAATACCCCCACTGCTGCCCCTCGACCTGCGGCCAGCCGCCTGCCGCCAGCCGCCTGCCGCCAGAGCTCCGACCACCGCCACCGCCGCCGCCGCCGCCTGAGCATCACCGGAAAATTCCAAAAAATGTTTGGCAGACTGCCAGATTCTGCCGCCGCCGCCACCCTCCGCCACCGCCTCCTCCGCCGCCGCCGCCGGAGCACCGCCGGAAAATTCAAAAAAAATATCTGGCAGACTGCCAGATTCTGCTGTCGCCGCCTCCGCCACCGCCGGAGTTCTCCGCCGCCGCAATGGTGTTTATCAGAATTTATTGTTTATTTATTGTCTACTTATTGTCTATTTATTGTCTATTTAATGTCTGTTATTTTCTTGCCGCCGCCGGAAACCGCCGCCACTGCCGCCGCCGCCACCGGAAACCGCCTCTTCCGCTGCCGCCACCTCCAGACTGCCTTGGTTGTGCAAGGAAACTAGGGGGGCAATTATTTAGAGCAATTAATTAAATAAAATTAGGGGTAAAAAAGGTAAGGTTAGTCCTATTTAGAGAAAAACATGCATGTAATCCTATTTTGAGAAAAAGGTTGAGTTTTAGTCCTATATTGAACAATTTTCTCAAAACAGAAGGAAAAACTATCTTGAGGGAGTCCAAATTTACTCAAAAACAATTTGGACTCCATGTCTTACGAGTTACAAATAGAGTCTAGTTAGGTCTCTCAAAAAAAGCTACCCCGGAGTATGCATTTATGGTGCTCTAAACCAGCCGATCATCACGATGATCGGATTATCAGTATTATATGGTGATGAAAATCTCTAGAAACAAACATCCTCCCTCCTATATGGTAGTGTAAGCAAAGGGAATCTCCAATCTATAACTTTTGTATAAATTGATCGAAGTTAGCGTTTTGGGTTTTCTAAATGGCTACTGATGAAGATTCAGAATTACCCCTCCTTGTAAATTATCAGAATGAAAGGATATGTCTAAATCATCGTGCAAGAGACGTTCATATCCTGAGTTGTGCCTTCTTGCTGATTTTCTTGGCTTATGGGGCTGCCCAGAATCTGGAAAGCACTATTAATACCGTGAGTTTCATTTTCATTTACTGTCTTCTAATCCAAAACATTTCAAAGCAAAAACTAACAAGCAAAGCTGGCCTCTTTTTTCGTTATAATGTCTCACTTGTTGGAAGATGACACAATGAGTTTTTCTTATATCAGGAAGAAGATCTGGGGACAACCTCTCTCGGGGTATTGTACTTATCATTCACCGTTTTCTCCTTGGTTGCTTCTGTTGTGGTAAAAAAGCTTGGTTCAAAAAGCGCTCTGATCCTTGGTACTACTGGCTATTGGTTGTTCGTAGCTGCAAATTTGAAGCCCACATGGTAAACCTCATTCCTTTAAAAAAATCTTAAATTTACTCGGGTCATCTCCATCCATAGGATTATTTGAGTATTAAGTTGGTGATGTGACGGATTACCTTTAGGATCATGATCAAGGGATGAAGATTATTTGGTGAGATTATTTGACAAAATAATCCTGTGTTGAAATATGAATCCAGATTATGCCAAGATTATTGTGCAGCTAGTATTAATTGGTAAGTGCGGGACCCACAAATGATCTGATTATTTTGAGATGATGAATGGTGTAATTTAGAAAGTGTGAGATTATTTTGAAAAAATCTACGTGTCAATCTACGTATCATTAAAAATCCGTTTATTTAAGTAGCATACTAGCATGAATGTGGATGCTCTGAAGTGACATAAATGTTTTGTGAAAGTTGAGATCACTAAGGTGTTTTTACTTTGACTGGTTTCAGTTTCATACGAGAACAAAACAAATCAGTCCAGACTTAAACAGTACTAGACTTTGACAGTTGTAAAATACACATAGACAAGACATCTATTAGAACAGACTTAAACATGTCAGTTTAGATAAAAAATCACAATCCAACTAAAAACATGCTTTACTTATGACGGTGTAGGAAGTGTTTTTTTGCGTTTGCGGTTGCGGCAGCACAAAACCGCAACACAACCGTATCAGGCCGCATCGGGACCGCAACACTAATTTAATTTTTCTTTTATTTGGTTTGAACGTAAAATTAGTTCACATCATATCGGCCGCAATACGCATCGCAGCGGCCGCAATACTTCCAACCGCAGTGATTGCAACCACGATCGCAATTTAAAGCCATGATTAATATAAATCATTTATATATGATGCCTGCAATTACATGCAGTATATGTGGGCATTTAAATATTTAAGTTAATGCAAGAAATTATGTAATATCCATGATTTTATGAAATGACATTTCAGGTATACAATGATACCTGCTTCATTGTACCTGGGATTTGCTGCTGCAATAATATGGGTTGCACAGGCAAGAAACTAATTTTTGTTTTGGTATTCATATATTTTGAATTTTTGATGTGATGGTTTACTATATACTAAAACTAAAGACGTTCTCTTTATTCTTTGTCAGGGGACATATCTTACATCCATAGCACAGGGTCATGCAAATGACCTAAGCCTTAATGTCGGGACTGTAATTGGTAAATTTAATGGAGAGTTTTGGGGTGTTTTTGCAAGTAACCAGGTAGATAAATACTAGTGTGGTTGGACTTTTTATCTCAGAGATTGTTTGGTTAAAGTAATTTGGCTGAAATGAGACTTTCAGAAAGGAGAAGCATTTGATACATCCATTTCAGCCAAATAATCAAAAGCTATTTATTCTTCCGATAAGAAGAATAAGCCACTTTTGGCTACCAAATGGAGCGTTAGTGAAGTTTTAGTCATGTCACTTCAGATGAATGTTGCAGGTAGTAGGAAATCTTATCACTCTTGCTCTGTTAAGAACTGCAATGGTATGTTTATATGTTGTAATACATACACATGCATGTGCATACACACACGCATGTACAGACATTTGGTTCTTCTTATTAGTTTGGTTATGTTTTGCCACAGGGGGGAGGAGACACGAGGGGCACAACTATACTTTTCATTGTATTTCTTTGTAGTATGTCTCTAGGTACCGTTCTTATGTGCTTTCTAAGTAGAGGAAGCGCTACAGAGGAGGCATCACTTGAAGATTCTTCTGTCGGGTTTTTCAAATCAATTGCCTCTTCATCTAAGTCTATCGCCAACTTATTGCTTGACATTAGAATGGTTTTGGTCATCCCCCTCATCACATATTCAGGCTTACAACAAGCTTTTGTATGGTACATAGTTTTTATCTAGTTTTTTGTTTAAGGTATACATGCTACTCCATTACATCAACCAGTAATGGAGCTGATTACTTCAACGAGTCCCATCACATCATATGAAGCCGATTTTACATGTAATTTGCCAAAAGAAAAACTCACGAACATGTTAAATATGATAAATTTAGTTAAAACAACAATTACATTCTAAAAAAGTAAGCGGGGACTTCATAATTCATAATAACTTTTAACCATTGTAGCTTTTCAAAATTTAAAGGTATTAGATTGATCACACAAGACTCTTTATTGGGATGGAAGGAGCATAAACAAAAGTGGTTATGATTTATGAACTTTTCTTTTCATATTAGTAATAAACAAAAGTGGTTATGATTTATGAACTTTTCTTTTCATATTTCAGTGCCTAAAACTTTTTTATTTTTCTTGATTTGGCATGTCTAAACTAAAAACATGTACTAATACAATGTCTGGATTGCTAAGTGGAGCAAATAATATGTGCTGTCAGCCTGTGACTGTGAAAATAGACAAAAGTTTAGGCACTAAAGACTAATGCAGAGAAATATGAAAAACGCTCGGACACTAATTTTGCAATTTGTTCCTTTTCTGTTTGTTTGCTCCATTTTGATATATGTTTCAGGGCTGAATTCACCAAGTATATTGTACAACCAAAAATGGGAGAGAGTGGTGTAGGTGGGGCAATGGCCATTTATGGTCTCTTTGATGCAATTGTAAGTAGTGCTCAAGTAGTCTCTTTGTAACATTGATGTAATCATGCAATATTTACCCTTCATATCATTTTAAAGTGTCTTAAGTTTTTTAGACTTTGTGTAGTGCTCAGTAGCTGCTGGTCACCTCACCTTTGGGCTTAAATCAATCACGATAATAGTATGTGGTGGAGGTATAATACAAGGCTTTGTATTGCTTTGGGTTCTGCTTAAGCACAGGTTTGGTGGAAATTGGCTTTTAGTTGTACTTCCTTGGTGAAATCGCAGCTGATGTGGTGTGGTTTATTTATCTCTGTGTGCGTTTTGTCTTCTACTTGCAGTGTTGATTTTGGAATAGTTGGTGTCCTTATAATAGCTGCTTTATGGGGCATCGGAGATGGAGTGCTTAATACCCAATTAAGTGCTTTTCTTGGGATTCTGTACAATCATGATTTGGTAATACTACTTGTTAGACTAATCTCCTCAGACTTTGTTTAGTATAAGCAGAATACGTAGTTTTTAACTTACTTGGCTGAAATGGTTATTGACAAACACTTTCCTTTCAGAATACTTCAGCAAATTCATCTATTTATCCCAAATAACCTCACAAAATGAGCCCTTATTGTGGCTTATGCTGCACCCAGACTATTTAATATCTCAATTTGCCTTTAGTTTGCAAAAATGATGAATTATTCATAACGGGCAGCAAAATCTGGGACAACATCTCAACATTACTAGTTACCCCACCCGTGCATTGCACGGCACTAAAGGATAAGTTAAAACAAGAAGTTATGTTTAATCTGAAATTAAAAATCAATGTTCAAAATTAAATATTAATCACGATATCGTAAATAGGTGTGCATGTTTGTCCAAGGAATTGTCAAAAAAATTAGGCTAAAGGGTCAAATAGGTACATGAACTAACTTAAAGTGTCCAATTAGCCCCTTATATAGGAGGTTCTGCCTGACCGTTGCCAATTAAGGCAGTCAAATGATTTTCCGAAATGTACTGCGCTGTTATTTTAAAAAAATCATTTGACTGCCTTCCCGGTTGAATTTTCAGCTGAAATTTGGTATTAGTAAACTAGACTTAATGAAGAAGATGCTCAAAAAATTTCATCAAAAAATTCCACCGGGAAATTCCCCAATTGGCGACGGCCAGACAGTACCTCCTATATAAGGGGCTAATTGAACACTTTAAGTTAGTTCATGTACCTATTTGATCTTTTAGCCAAAAAATTATAAATGATTATAAACTTCTTTGTAAACAACGTTCAATGCACAATTTGTTGATTGTCCGTCTTTGTCACATATGACAAACTTCAACCCAGATGGACTTGTTACTCTTTAGACCGCCACGTACAACTGTCCATGCGTAAAAACAGGCCGTCGGAGGAAGATGCCTACCTTTTCCAATGATTGTCACTGACTCTTATTAATGGTCATTGCATAGCTAACCATTAAAAGAAACTGTATGCCCTAAAAATTGAAAGGGAGTCTAACGTCTGATGGTGTTAAAGTAAGTCGAAGAATGAGAAACTTTTCACCAGTATTTTCTCCGTGGATCATCTGAGCTTTGATAATATGATCTCCAAGTTTAGTAACCAAAAGTCGTGTGCCATTGCACAAACCAGATGAATGATCTATATTCCTCATAAGCATCACATGAACCTCCACCTTTAGCTTTAGCCCATGACTGATAGGAATCTGGCTTAGTAGGCTATTAATAAGAAACAATAATAATAGTAAATGTACATCAGTACATGTAATATTATAAAGAGAAGAGGAGGGGAGGAAAATAGGTAGGCTGTATTTCGTTGGACTTAGAATTTGGAGACTGGGCATCTCGAATTGTCTGTGGCTACTATATCCTTTCTGTAAACAACGTATCACTTCAATAACACTTCTTGATCATCTTCTTGATCAATTCTTTTGGATTCTCTACTGTTCTTAGTCGTATTTTACCAGTGTTCTATCATTGGTATCAGAGCATCGTTTCTGGTGATTGGAACCGTAGGCACAATACCAGAAAATTTTCCGTTTCAGTTGTGGAAGGTCTGGACGAGAACAAAAAATGGAGAACAGAATGGAAAAATGGAACCATACCTTGATGAAAGAAATAACTACGATCATGGGGGCAATGTAGGCGAGCATCTCAAATCTGGAGAGAGAAATCTGGAATAGTTCGCGAAGCAGATCACAGGCCTCTTACGCATCGCATTGCAAATCGCTCACCAGTTCGCAGAAGGAGTCGCAAACTGTTTCTTCTGCTTCGCAATAGCTAAAGGCTTCTATCAGTTCGCAACAGTTATCGCTAAGCGCACAAGATTCTTCGCACAATCCGCATCGCACTTTGCATCGCAGACATGTGAGAGATTCCGTTACTCCAGAAGGTTCAGAAGGTAATTATGATTATTTACCTTCGCATAAGGAACACAATCACTACAGGGGCCATCTAAGTTATAATAGAACAAGGAGGGAGATGGAATTACCCTTTTTCAATGGTGGTGATGCTTATGGATGGATGGAATTACCCTTTTTCAATGGTGGTGACGCTTATGGATGGATGGATAGGATGGAATGATATTTCACTCTCAATACTACTACATAAAAAGATAAGGTAGAAGTCGCAGCAGAAGCTATGGAGGATAGGGCGTTTGACTGGTTTCAATGGTGGGAGACTCAAACGAGAGATAAGAGTTGGGAGGTTCTGAAGGAAGCCATAATGCGGCGTTTCCAACCTACACACAGTCGGAAGACACAGAAGTCTTCGCCTACAACGTCTTCCAGTTCTCGTTCGCGAGAAAACCCTTCCACTTCCCTGGTTTCGTCAAGAACTGTTTTTCATCAGCAATCGTCATCGCAAGCCGTTTCTCTCAGTCGTCCGCAGGTGTCCTCGCAGTCAGTATCGTTTGTCGTTTCTCCAACTTCACAGGCACTTTCATATGCAAGCTATTCACATCAAAATGTAATGCAATCGAGAGAGGAATACTCATGTTCGCAAGTGTCATCTCCAACCGTTTCTCCAAGATCGCAGACTTCTTCACTCGCGGACTATCACAACTCATCTTCGCTGGACGTCTCTCATCAGGCGCAGCTTTCTTTGCTTGAAAATCCACACCAACTACACAGAGTTGAAGCCAACACTGTCTACATCTTTAGTTAAAGAATTGGAGACGAAGGATGATATTCCGGAAGGGGCAGAAAACATTGATTCATCAAATAATCTAGATTTGGGTAGAGTTCATGAACTGGATTTGGGTGTACCAATATATATTGTGTACAATTCTTCATCAAAGGGAATGTTGGAAGGGCAGAAGCAGACTGAGGGTTTCAAAATTGATGGTATGAATTCTATGAAATCTATCCAAAAGGGATTGAGAGTAGGATGGACCGGGAATGATAAGGAAAATGTTAAGGAAAAGCCAGTAGTTTGTATATGTATTCCAGATGGTGTAGTCTGTGCCTATCAGTTTCAGATGACAAGAAAGATGATACATTGGGTGTAGTCTATATGGGACCTCTTGTTGTTGGTCCTAACTGGGTGATGATGGAAATCTAGTTTCTATGACTGTCCTACTAAGAGGCTCTTCCAAATATTTGATTAAAGATGATGATATTTGTAAGTCAGGTTGTCCAAAAGGCAAAGAGTATATTGCAGAGTTTCCATATGACGGATTGCTATCCATATTCGAAACAACAGAAGGTTCTGCACCGTTCATGTCATTGTTTGCACCTAGCAATTCTGATTACAGGATTCCTATTTGAAAGCTTTCTTTAATAACTCTGAAATTGAATCTGCCATTGTTGTTGATCAGTTAATTTGTAGTTAATTTGTTCCTGATACTATTAGTCCCAGGGAATACTTCATGTCAGATACTACAACTTCAAGGAGTGGATCAACTGAAATCCAAGAGCTTGAGTCATATTATGAGGCAAGAGTTGTTAGCAATTGGAAGATTGAGCAGTTGGTGATTGGGCAGATTGGTAAAACTCAATTCCAGCATGAACAAAGCTATCCTAGTGGTAATGATACTCTGAAGATAGAGTATCTATTGAGGCTTTTGTTAGAAGAAGGAAAGAGGAAGATTCAAGCAGGGACGATCTTAATCCAGCAACTAGTCAAGTACTGGGAGGGAAGAGGTGCAAGAATAAAGTGGAAGTGGAAGATCATGGCTGATTCCTATCACCCACCTTGAGGACAATGTGGTTATTTAGGGGGGGAATTGATAGGAACCTGGCTTAGTAGGCTAATAATAAAAAATAATAATAATAGTAAGTGTACATGTAATAGTATAAATAGAAGAGGAGGGGAGGAAAATAGGTAGGCTGTATTTCGTTGGACTTAGAATTCGGAGACTGGGCATCTCGATTTGTCTGTGGCTACTAACACTTCAATAGCACTTCTTGATCATCTTCTGATCAATTCTTTTGGATTCTCTACTGTTCTTAGTCGTATTTTACCAGTGTTCTATCAATGACTCGGCAAACCTGAACATTTAATGCTGTTAAGAAATTCAGGAGAATGTATCTCATTTAAGAGATCACCATCTGAGCTAGGTGAAGAAGCTGAATCTGAGCTTAGATAAGTTTTTAACTCCGAATCTATCTGACTCAACATGTAATCGTTGACTTTATCAACTTCATCTATGGTCGGAAGAGCAAGAATAGCCCTAGAATAAAGAAAAAAATTATATTTAAAAATATATATTATATGAATATATATGTTATTAATAAATAAAATAAAAAATTATATGAATAAATAGCCGTGGATCTATGCAGCCATATTTAGAACAAAAAGCAGCTATTGATTATTATACCATTATCCTCATTGATTTTTTTGAAAGGAAATCGCCAAACTTTAGGCGGAAAATTGAAAATAGAAAACCCATTCGGAAACAATAAAGTGGTTCTAGCTAGTATGTTGGCTACTCTATTTGCGGATCGTTTGCAATGAATGATTTCAACTCCTGCTTCTGTGTGCGGACTGTGTCTATCTTCTAAGATGGTATCAAAATATGACTCCCCATTCCGATTCTTTAGTCCCGACACAACCTCAAGAGAATCGAATTCCACCTTAACCCTTGGCCAATTTTGTTCTTTCACCCGACTTAAGGTCTCCCGTAAATCTACTACCTTTGTCACACTAACCGTCCAACTTGCTGTAAGCCTGTAACAGTGTGGTGACATCCGCTAACAAAGAAAGCATCTACATCTCGAGCGACCCACGCCCATGCTCTTTCTGTGTCTGTCATATAAAGCCGCATCAACATTTATCTTGATTTTACCCGCTGCCGGCCTCTTCCATTTACCTTCACCTTCCGGTCTTGCAGCTCGAACCACGCTGCTTTCTTGCGGCTGTTGCCAACGTTGTAAAGTTGAAGTGTCCACTGCTACACCTGCCCCTATGATGTTTGCTTTCCTTTCCAAGCAATATCATTTCGAGCCTTCCAACAGCTTCTTAAAGTGCCAATGAAGCAACAAAGTTCCTCCTCCAAAAGATTGTCAAAATAAACTTCAATCCACTCCATAAGAGACTCACCTTGCTGAACAAACCTTGATCCCAACTTTGTCCAAACTGCTGCAGTAACTCTGCATTTTTTCTTCATTTTGTTCGCTTGTGCAACCACAATTCTAAATCATCCAATACAAAACAAAATTGCATACAATTTCATATAAGTCATTGATTATATGATTATCTTTATTCCTAACTATAAGAAGCAGTTAATTAAGCAATCTAATAATTATGCATCTCATAGGGAAACAAACAAAGAATTGGACTTTGTAAACAAAACTAAAGTGATGGAATAACTAAACCTTGGAATTAATGTGATGACTTTTCTAATAAATATTAGAATAAGGTTTAAACTAAATATTGAAAAAATACTCAGAGTATCATGGTATCTACTTGTTCAAAGCGACATAATAACCAAAAACACACAAGCGCAAATCCCAAGCATCTAAGTGCATCGAAGGGTAACATAAAAATCAAAGATCAAGAATTGATCAATGTATACGTAGTCAAATCTGAATCTTCACACCCTTTAATTTCTTGGCAGAGCTCCGTTTCCCTCCATCATATTCATTGCTTTCTTCATTTGCATGCCTTTTGGATAAAACAGACTCTGAGTCTGATTAGATTCCATCTTTGTTGAGCATGAAGTCTGTAATATAGCACAAGTTTGAGTAATGCATTTCCTATATTCATCACATGCGTAACAATATATTTAAAACAATGTTGTCAGCACTTTACCATATTTGATTCGACATTTGCATCTTCATCACATAGTAAATCGAGATCAAAGTCTGAATCATACACCTTTATCGAATAAAAAGGATGATTATCAAGTGTTAGTGTTTAAGTGTTCAAGTTTACATCAATATAACAATACATGAGTGATCTCTTAAATGAGATACATTCTCCTGAATTTCTTATCAACATTAAAGCTAAAGGTGGGGGTTCCTGTGATGCTTATGAGGAATATAGATCATTCATCTGGATTGTGCAATGGCACACTGATATGTAACAGAAAAATAGAAATCAACGGGGTGAACTGTTGCCCACATAATCAACGATAAAAATACCGTTGCCCAAAGCCAAAAAGCTAAACTCTAACTTTATTCCAAGATAATAAGAATGAACCCTGACGAGGGGTATAAATAGCCTTCTACAAGAAACTCTAATCAAGCCCATATTAATTAAACCCTAATTAAGCCCAAATTAATTCAACTAACTACTCTACTAATAATAGGCCCAAACTAAAACATAACATTAACTTAATAATAATAATTAAACTATAATGAGAGCCCTAACTCGGCCCACGGAAGTGGGCCCAAGCCCGGTCCCGCCCCATGCTCTTCCCGCTCTCTATCAATCCATCCTCCTTCAAAATAACCTTGTCCTCAAGGTTGAAAGCTGACAGATGGGGATCTGAAATTCCCAGACATAGAATAGACTGGAAAATATCCTTTCTCTCTTTCCTGAACTCTTTCCTGGCCGGTTATTTCACAGTACTCATGCTGTTGGAGGTCTAAATCTTCCTCCTCCTCGGCTATCATTACCCGCAGCTGCTTAAAGGGACAATCGTGCCCCGGTGTAAATGGTTTCTTACACCTAAAGCATAATCCTTTCGCCCTCAATTCTGTGAACTCCTTTGGCGGAAGACGAGTGAACTTAGAGCGTGTCGTAGGCTGCCCGGACAGCCCTGACTTCGTCCCCAGAGGCTGTCCACTATCCTTCGCAAAGCTGCCCCTTGATCCCTGCAAGCTGCCACCACTGGCAGTCAAAGGAGGACCCGTGTTTGCCATTAAAAAGCTGCTGGAACGTACCCCTGCAGAATTATAATTCGGGCTGCCACTTCCTCCACTTTGGACGGACATATTATGCTCCACATCGCGAGCTAATTCCATGGCTGTCTCCAGGTTTTCTAGCCGTAATAAGCGCAGCGCACTTCGGATTGCTTCCCCAAGTCCACTCATGTAGTAGCCCAAATAATGATCGTCGGTCAATCCCGGAACTTGGCTAGCCAATTGAACGAACAAGGTATTGTATTCCTCCACCGACCCAATTTGTTTGACGCCGGACAGCCGTTCAAACCTGTTTCCCTGATATCGGGAATCAAATCTGGCCACCAAGGCTTGCTTAAATTCCTCCCAAGATATGCCAGGTTTGCGCGCCTTTAACCACGTCACCCAATAGAGGGCAGCCCCTTCCATAGAAACCCTAGCCGCTGCAACTTGTCTGTCTGGTGGGGTCCTGTTGAGCTCGAACTGCTGCTCCACTCTCGCCAACCACCCAATTGGGTCTTCGCCATCGAACGAGGGAAGTAGCGTTGTGGCTGCGGTGCGCAGTCCGCCATCATCGGAGAAGACAAATGTGACGTGGCCGGAGGAATCGCTCTCGACGGTCGCGATGGGAGATTTCTGCGGCGGCACCATGGCCTTCGCGATTGCTGCAAGAGAGGCTGCGATTTCCGCAAGCTGGGCGGCCTGCTCTTCGAGTTTCTGACCTTGTGTGTCAAGTTTCTGTCCTTGCAGATCAAGTTTCTGTCCTTGCGTGTCAAGTTTTTGATTGATTAGGGCCTGTTCAGCCTCCAATATGATAAACGTTCGTTGGTTGATCTCGTCATTCCGGCGGGACGGGATCCGGCAGGTCGGACCAATTGATATGTAACAGAAAAATAGAAATCAACGGGGTGAACCGTTGCCCAGATAATCAACGATAAAAATACCGTTGCCCAAAGCCAAAAGGCTAAACTCTAACTTTATTCCAAGATAATAAGAATGAACCCTGGCGAGGGGTATAAATAGCCTTCTACAAGAAACCCTAATCAAGCCCATATTAATTAAACCTTAATTAAGCCCAAATTAATTCAACTAACTACTCTACTAATAATAGGCCCAAACTAAAACATAACATTAACTTAATAATAATAATTAAACTATAATGAGAGCCCTAACTCGGCCCACGGAAGTGGGCCCAAGCCCGGTCCCGCCCCATGCTCTTCCCGCTCTCTATCACACACGACTTTTGGTTACAAAACTTGGAGATCATATTATCTAAGCTCAGATGATGCACGGAGAAAATGCTGGTGGAAAGTTTCTTATTCCTCGACTTACTTAAACCCCATTAGACGTTAGACTTCCTTTCAATTTTTAGCGCATACAGTTTCCGTTAATGGTTAGCTATGCAATGACCATTAATAAGAGTCAGGGAAAATCATTGGAAAAGGTAGGCATCTTCCTCCGGCGGCCTGTTTTTACGCATGGACAGTTGTACGTGGCGGTCTCGAGAGTAACAAGTCCATCTGGGTTGAAGTTTGTCATATGTGACAAAGACAGATAGCCAACAAACTGTGTATTGAACGTTGTTTACAAAGAAGTTTATAAAAATTTATAATTTTTTTGACAATTCTGTGGACAAACATGCACACTTATTTATGATATTGTGATTAATATTTAATTTTGAACATTGATTTTTAATTTCAGATTAAACATGACTTCTTATTTTATTTAGTTGGGGCAACAAAATCTGGGACAACATCTTAACATTATACCAAGTCCTTCCTTTCCCCTGCCTCTTTGGAATCAAGATTTTATTTTCTAAAAATAGCTTTTCTGATGAATTGTACTACCTCCGTCCCTTAAAACTTTGCTAAAGTTGACTGGCACGGAGAATAATAAAGTAAACACTGTGTGGTTGAAGTTTGTCCAGAGGAGAGAGAAATAACAAAACCACAAAACAATTGATTAAAAGGGAAAGTGGTAAAGTTTTTTTGGACGTCCCAAAAAGGAAAGATGTCAAAGTTTTAAGGGACGGAGTATAAAATTCATAAATATTTAATGCATGAATTTTGTTTTAGAGAGTAAATTAAAAAATGGTCAAAATGACCAAACCAGTCATTATAAACTTTTAATCAGTTTGGATCAGCAGCAAGAAATTATTTTGCTAATTGCCTAATTAGTTGTCCAAATTTACTTTTTGTATTTGTCATTCAAATTGCCAAGTATCCTGGAAAGTATGGCCTTGATTGTCACATTGTGTTTCAAAGACGAATATTTCCCTTTTTATAACTTTTTATCGATAACAGGAAGGAGCATTTTCTCATCTTAAGCTTTGGCAAAGCTTCGCAGTGGCAGTTGTGTTCTTCTTGAGCCCTCTCATCTCTTTGCAGTTGATGCTAGTTATCATGCTGGCTTCACTCTGCATTTCTGTATCTGCATTTCTTCTTCTCACACTGAAGGTAGAACAGGCCTTTTCAACTCCTCTTCCTTCGTAGATGCCAAGATCTGTAATTCTGTATGGTATGTTTTTCATTTTGTATTTGAGAATCGAATTGTGAAGTTTCAAACTCTTCTTGCTTGTGTATTCCCATTATATTATTAATGAGTACTTATTCTCATGGATCCCAAATTGGCTTATTGGTAGTGTTAACGCCAGAGCATTTTTTAAGATCGCATTATCAGCTCACACACATATTAAATACACTTTGCAGTTTGCACCACAGAAATATCTCCATGTGATGGTTATCGAAGCAAGGAACCTTGCACACCAAAACTATAACCATGAAATTTCACAAGAGGATGTAGATGCTGTATAAATCTTTTTGAATGATGATGTTGTGAATAAAAAAGGTTAGGAACTTTGGGTTTTTAATCATTTGGAGAAGTTTCAAAGGATACCTCACAATACAATGGAAAGGATACCACACAAAGTCACAATATGACTATACAAGGGTTTAGTAGGGCATGACCGCATGCACAATGATAGCAAAGGATTAGCCATCCATTTCTCTGGTTTACCCACAATGGGAGGGGGCATCCCTGAGATTTTGAGAATACGTCTCCTTTGTGGCTTGGTAGACTAGAACATGAGAACTAGTGCCATTTTTTTATTCTTAAATGATGAAGATAATAGGATCAAAGTTTGCTTTTAGTCCTCGAGTATAGCGTTGTTTCTATTTTTAGTCTCATTTTCATGGAGATTGTTGAATTAGTCGTTTTGAATTTAACTATAGTACTGCACTCATATTAGTCGTTTAAATTAAGGCTTGTGGTGACATGAGAAATAACACAATTGACATCACCACAGAGAAGTATCTTGATGCCTTATATTTTGGTTTTGTATTATTATCAACAACAACAACATTACCCCATTGCCCCAAAGGTTCCCACCAACGGTAGGGTAAAGGGGAGGGGGGGGGGGTCGGATGTACCCACCCGTACCCCTATACCAAAGCGCAAAGAAGCTATTTCCGGATGACACATAATGAAAATTGTGTCGAAAATTGCATGGACCGCTGCTTCATAACCAGGAAGCGCAGACAATTTAGTGAGTCATTTTGCTTTATTCCATCATATTCCCAAGTAAAAAACTAGTGAGTCTTTGGCTCCATTGAAAATGGTGGAAAATGGTTTGGTATTATTATATTTCAAGGAAGTGGGAGAATTTAATCAAAATGAAATTTGAAAAGTATAAATTGACAGTATATGATTAATTAATAAATAATTTATATCAGTTGTACCTCACCAAAATAAAAAATTATATATTGCTTAGATATAAGGCTCTTATATGGATTGGACTGAACGGAGATTTTATTAGAAGGAACTTGGTGAATAGTTGATGACAAAAACAGGATGACAAAGATGAATGGTGTAAAACATCGAAATAGTAGTTTTCCAAAAACAGTAGCTTTTCATCTACATTATTAGTCCATAGTTCATATGTACAAAATGAGCATGCTTTTTGCTAGATGGTGGATAAATTGTGGTTGTGTAAAGTGAGGAGTAATATTTCATTTACCATCTAAACTAAATTATCTACCAATAATACATACACACTGAGTCTGGGCTCATTCTATTCTATATGTACAGTAGAGAAAGAAATGTAAGGTTTTTTTTGGCATGGCTAATTAAGTTTGATGAAGTGTGAAATGCGGATGGATAAGCTGTGTTGATGTATTGACCAGGTCCTGCAAGTTAGTTCACTGTCAGTATAGAAATCATTAGTATTCCTCATTTAGGATTCAGATCCTATGCATAACCCCAAATCCAGGCACTGTGATCACCACTATCAGTGCGAAAATATCACCATGATCAGTGCTTATAAAAAACTACTCCGAATATTTTTCTCCATTAGTTTTTACGTTGTATACGAAGTACTACCTCCGTCCCATTAGAAGGTTCCCATCCACTATTTACATGGTCAATTTAAATCATTTTTAATCTTTTACTTTATAAATCAAATTTTTATCAAATTTACATTTTTTTATCAGCCTTTGTAGTGGTTTTAATGTAGTTTCTGAATATATTAATTTTATTTACTAAAACTAATCAGAGTGTGAACAAGGATTAAGTTGCTTTATCGTCCGGCAGTCAAGCATCGTAAACCATTCACGGGAACCTTCTAGCGGGACGGAGGGAGTATTTGTTATTTTCCTATAAAAATGTTTTTTCCTATGTTTTCTAGTTTTTTTTTGTTTGTGAAAATGAAATTGTTTTTTGAAAAAGTTTAGCAACAGAAAGAAGAATAGAAGTAACACCTTGTTGCAAATCAGGAACCACCAACCACCATGAATTGGCCAATACTCTGGTCCGCCATTTCCTTCAATCTCAGCAGCTCTGGCAATACTTGCTTTCTCAAATCTGGCCGGTCCTTCCGCCGCAGCTCTGCGCACTGCAAGGCAATCTTGGCCATGGTCAATGCCTCTTCCGCTGGCCAGTTTGTAACTACCGGATCCATGATCTCTTCGAATCTTCCATTCTCCACAGCATCCGACACCTTATGTGCTATCCCCATCGCCGGCTTCGCTGTCAACAGTTGCAGAAGCACAATCCCGAAGGAGTAAACATCAGACTTAACTCCAAGCATCCCTGTCTGCTGATACTCCGGGTCAATGTAACAGAAAGTCCCGGCTGCTGATGTCATCCTCAGCTGCGTGACATCATCGGCCACATTCGACGGGACCAGCCTTGCCAGTCCCACGTCCCCGATCTTGCTTACATAGTACTCATCCAGTAGGATGTTTGCCGGTTTGAGGTCGCGGTGCACCACCGGCTCCGGCTTGGTTTGGTGAAGAAACAGTAGGCCGGTGGCGACCTCTGCTGCAATCCGGAATCTCACTTGCCAGGAGAGAGCGGGTTTTTCTCCTCGTTTGAATAGTCGTTCATCCAAGCTTCCATTAGACATGTAGTCGTATACCAGGCAGCCATACTCCGGGCAAGCACCAAGTAACATTACCATGTTTGGATGGCGCAGGCAACTTAGCACCTCAATCTGTTCCAAAATATATATGTTTGGTTATATGGATGAAATAGCTCAATCTGTTGAACTTTCCGAAAGAAATAGCGTTTGGTAAACCCCGTTTTAGCTAAACAGTTCAGTCAAAAGCTACTTATTCTGCATATAAGCCGAATAAGCCAATTATGGTTGCAGTATGGAGTGTACAGGAAGTGGCATTGTGTGATTATATTGAATTTGTAGTATGGATTTTTTTTAGTAACATTTGGTGCACGAAAAAAACTTCAGACTCGGTGCTGTGATTGCTGTCCCAACTCCTAACAGACAATTGTTGGTCCAGATGAGATGAACTAGGCTGATTGAACAAAAGAATTGAAAAACCGAAACCGTCCAAAACCGGAAAAAAACCATAAGCAGTTCAGTTTATAAAAATCATAACCATAACCCGTCCAAATCCGGGCGCTATTACAGTACGGAAGTGGGATCTGGGGTAGAATGTGTTTCCACACGGTATCATGCAAAAAACACGATTTTACCCTTGCATTAATGGATGTGTAATTAGAAAAGCGGTGGTATAAATAATTCTTATGTAACCCCCAAGTGACAATATGCAGTAACTTTGTTGACAAATATTACCTCTTTGAGGAACTGTGACCGTCCTTGAGCAGCGTCTGGGCGTAAGACCTTAACTGCAACTGCTGTATGGTCAAGAAAACATTTAAAGACAGGGCCATACCCTCCTTCCCCAATCTTTCTAGATGCCGAGAAGTGGTCTGTAGCTTCATCAATTTCATCTAAGGTGTATCTATGAATAGTAAATGATATACACAATTCATATAGATTTTAACTATAAACTTTAACTTCTAGTTGAGTTTACCTATAAAAGTGACTCAGTAGACTTGTTTGGTTCAAGGGCTTCAGAGGATAGGGGAGGGAAGGATTAGTTTTTTATTTTACTGATTTATCTCTATTTGTTAGTTTTAGACTAGTAATAACTATACCTTTAGTTAGATCAAGGTTTTTATCTTCAGCTAATTTTAAACTATCAAAATACAAAAATAGCTTTAAAAGTAGAAAACACCTATTCCTGTCCCTCCTCCAAATACCCTAACCACACAAGCCCGTAGTTGTGAAGGTATCATATATTAACAAACCTCCTGTATCTCAACCCGATCCCAAAGTGCTCATCTCTTCCCTCTTTGTCAGCTTCAGTTCTCCTTTTCGTTATATCGACACTCTCATTGCTTGTCCACGACTTGACCTTCCCGTTCCCTACATTCATATTCTCTGACATGTCATCTTCTTCCAATCTTTTCTCTTCCTCAATTCTCCATAATTGGAGCTCAGTTGCCTATAATATTATAAACGTCTTAGATCTAGGAATGAAAGGGACTACTTTGTATCTATGCTTAGTGTTGAATTCATCTGTGCCCGACTTTATTAAGAAACACAGAAATTAGTTCTTGTAAAAAGTAGGTTATTAGTTCCCTTGTAGTAGTTAATTGGAAAAGCCATGATCATAGTAGGAACATGAAGCTATTGACTAATAAAAAGCTGACTGAAACTGAATAAGGAAATAACTATAATGATATGAACATGAAACTAATACTAATATAAGTAAAAGGAAACTGATCCAAACAACAACATCCAAGCCTTAGTCCTGAAAGAGTTTGGGGTCAGCTAACTGATAGAGAGCAAGAAGAACTGAGGGGAGGGGCGGAGGAAGTGGGTCCGAGCCCCAGAGGCCAGACCCTTGTTGGTCTACCGTAGGCGGGGACGGGCTTGAGCCCACCTTCGTGGGCTGGCTCTAGTTATTTTAATTAATTAGTTTTAATTAGGACTTCTATCCTCATTAGAATTAGAGGTTTCCTATTCTAATTAGTTTCCTAGTATTCCTTTTATATTGTTTCCTAGTATGGTTTAATTAGGACTTCTATTCTTATTAGAATTAGAGGTTTCCTATTCTATTTAGTTTCCTAGTATGATTTAATTAGGACTCCTTTTATGTTTCTTACTAGGAGTTAGTTTCCTATTCATTTTTGGATGCAAGGGTTTTATATAAACCCTGCCTAGGCTTGTTTAATTGGGCATGAATAATATTGGATTTTTAGCTATTTAGCTTGGGCAACGGATTCTACCGTTGACTTTTATTTCCGTTCTCATCGCTAACAAGAAACTGCCATGATGCTTTTCCACCTTTTTAATTGTGTGACTCTCACATGAGACATGCTGACATCAAGTCATGCACGTTACCAAACAGCAAACACTTCAATGATCAAAATTCAAGACAACTACAGATGCATGTGTTACCTTCTGCTTTGCAGTCAAGGCATCTTTGCATGCTGTGCTGTACAAGTCCATCATCTTCTGCAATTCTTGTTTTAGCCTTTTCATTTCGGCATCTGCGTCATCCTGTTTGTTGTCAATTCATAATTATGAACTGAACTTTTATGCTTTTTTATCAGGGTAATTTGAGTTTGCACCACATTTTATTGTCCAAATTTGATTTTGCAGCCCGTTTTTTAAAAACTTTGTATTTGCACCCCAAGCCCGTATGAGAATACAAAAATGCCCCTCATCGGGAATATTTTGAAGGCCAACAGAATTGTTAATGGAGGGGCATTTTTGTCTTTTCATACGAGGTTGGGGTGCAAATACAAGGATTTTTAAAAACTATTTGCAAAGTCCAATTTGGACAATAAAATGGGGTGCAAACTCAAACTACCCCTTTTTTATCCGAAATGAACCAAACCATGTTTTTTTGCCTTACGTTGTCAAGGTACGAGGATGAAATATCAGTGAAAGAACTTGTGTCGCTGGCCTTAGATCTGAAGCGCTCAGACCCGTAGCTACTTTCGGAGCTAGTCGATGCTTGGGAAGTAAGTCCCGACTCCATTCCATCGTAAAACATAGGACTCCGGTCGGTGCTAGGCCGATCGGAACTCACAAATGAAATATCTGTGTCTGATTCTGAAATGTCCCCAAATGCTCTTCCAGGGATACCTCTTCCTTTGACAAGAGGCAACCTATATATTGTTTAAACCTTTTCTTTTTAGTGTCATTGTTGGAAGCTAAATTTCATGGTTTAAAATGGAACCCCGAATGTTTACCTGAACGACGACTCTATGTCATCATTGTATGTGAAAGAGGTGCGCTGGGACTTGTCAAATGCTCCAAGCTTATCTCCGTTCAAGGTAACTGCAACAATGCTCAAATTCAAGTTTTGGGTATCAATGTTTATGCCAAGGCCTGGTTCTGGACCGGAACCGGTTCAAACCTGGTTTGGTTTTGGTTTCTCCAAAGTAGGACCAAACTGGTTCCGACACTGTTTTTAAACAGGGCAAACAACTGGCCTGGAACTGGACCTTGTACCCGGTTCCTGTTCCACCTTAGCCCTATCCATGACCCAGAACCCGGCCAAATTCATCTTAAGCATCAAACAAAGTAGTAATGTCATTTACCATTGAAAGTAGGAGTGTGTCTATGACGTGCCATAGGTGAAAAGCCATTAGCTTTAGTTTTGTTGGTGCTAGCAGCTTTGATTTTGTTGATGTTGTTGGTGTCGGCGGCGGCAGTTTGTTGAAGTTGCTCATGTTTCTGATGGATTTGGCTGTAGAGAGGAGAAATGAAGGGGGCTGGTCGAGAAGCATTTCGAACGGATGAGATTTTGGATTTAGAAATGACATAAACCGTACAGAAATCTGGTGATCCTTTTGATACACTTGTTGGAACATCCATAACCTTTAGCCTCCTGTAAGTTAACCACTAACATCATTTGATCATAAGATTTAGTGATCAAATAAAGTTTTTTTGAAAGATTGAAGCTATAAGAGTGATGTTAGGTGAATATTGTATTTAGACATTTTAGGGAGACATTCATAATAAGTCATCACAAGTCTGACTTTTCATCATTAAATATATGTGTGCCACATAAGAAAGTCTCCCAAGAATGTCCATATTAATGCCCCCGTAACACTACTCGGATATAAATAATTGATTAAAGCAATTACTGAACTTGAGAAATCCATGCTTCGATGCACCGAGAACCAAGTTCTCAATTGCAGCACCAGAGATGTATTCGTTCAAAGCTTTTGCTATATCTGTGTCTTCCAGTATTACATCCAAGGAATGTATCTGTGTGCATCCCACAAAATACACATTTGAAACATCGGAATATTTGTCTCGGCCCAATATCAAATTAAAGGGAACATGTGATCTGTCTCAAAAGAAAATCTTACATCTTTGCGTGTGCAAAAGACATGAAATATAGCGAACAACTCTTTGGTGTGTTTCTCAAGATGTTGGCGGTAGGAAGAGGCGTCATGAATAGCAGCACCAGCTCCAACTGCTTAATTATATGGTGTTTAAGTTGGCTATTAGAATGGTTGAAGAGCTTTTCTCACATCTTATTAAGTATGAAGAAATTAGAATTCAACATATAAGATCTTAACTCATTCTCCATATTAGATTGATCTTTTAAGAGGACCCTCGTGTCTTCGCAATAGTATCAAATTGTTTTTTTAATAGTGGAATTCAAATGGGAGTCCCCGACGAAGAATTTCAAGTTTTCTAAAGATTTACTGTATAGAATTTAATAAAAATTCATCGATTCTATCAAATTTTAATAGAATTCTATGAAATCCCTGAAATCAGAGGATAAGTGGTCGGAATTGATAAACATGTGTGTAATGTTTTTAGGTTAAAAATCTATACGAATTCATAGAAATCCATAATGATTGATAATTGTAGACATCTAGATTTAATGGAGTGCACCAAGTTCTTAAATGGGAATATTAGGAATTCCATGGGATTATTACAATTTTGAATTGAGGACACCTTAAATTTCATGGAATCTTAAAATCCATCAAATTTCACATTGAGAACAGCCCAAGTTTTATATGAATGTCAAGTTGGCCTTTTGATGAAATTCTAAATTTATCTTCCACAGCTAATACTCATCCATATTTTGCATGTAATACTTTGATGTGGTATATTCAACAGAATGTATGAAGAAGAAATGAAGGTGAGGCATACAGGAGGTCTTGTGTACAACATGGATGAGGATGAGGGTTTGGCCTCTCGAGATCAAATTTTCGGTGGTCCACCTGAGTGCAGATTGGCTGCTTTTGTCTTTGTCAATGGCGATCGCCACCAGCCCATTCGTGGCAGTTGGAGAGGCGGCGGCAGCGGCCCCTCTTCCTCTTGGATTCGGGAGCCACATCTAAATATTGGATCTTATGATGATCACTTCCTCATTTTCCTTGTTTTGTATTTCTTTGCATGTGGATAGTGACCATCCTTGGTTTCTTGGATGCATGAATGAAATCTTAGCATTCTTCACAATCTATGGTCAAACGTGGGAAGCATCGAAATTTGCTCTGTTGTGAATGACTCATCAGTGTCAATCCTCTCTTTCTTTCCACTTTTTCCGATGGCTCCACCATTTTAGCTTCATGTATTTTATTTCAATTCCACTGCGCAGACCACCTCACATTTTCTTTTGCAGGATTGCCAATTAGAGGTACACATGGTTCTGAAACCGAAAAGGAGTGGGTGAGTCGTAATAGGAAGAAAAATGTTCATAGGGACAATCTTCTATTATACAAAAGCAAAATGAAAACTGCACAGTGTTCCCGCTCAAAACATGAACACTAATGGGCCGGGCCTGTTAGAGTGGGTCCAGAATCATGTCATGCAATTCTAAAAAATGGGGGTTTGTACTAGAAATTCCACAGGCCACAAATTTAGTCTTTTTACATTGAATAGAGTGCTGTAATTCTAAAAAAATGGGAGCATTGTACTCGAAATTCCACAGGCAGCACATCTACAGCTCTTTTTGCCTTTCTTGAGCCACACAACAATAAATGCACTGTACTGGCTGTGATAGTAAATGGCAACTTCACATTGAATAGAGTGCTGCAATTCTAAAAAAATGGGAGCATTGTACTCGAAAATCCACATGCAGCAAATTTAATTTTTTTGCCTTTCTTGAGCCACACAACAATAAATGCACTGTACTGGTTGTGATAGTAAATGGCAACTTCACATTTAATGGGGTGTGCCTTGACCAATGGTTATTACACAATAACACAATTTGCTCTACACCACTTCCTCCATTTCCCAATATAAATACCCATTGAAGAGGTCAGAAACCACACCACAACCAAGCTGATCTCTTTTACATTCTCTGTATTTTCAAGTTTCCTAAGTTATTTGTGAGCTATGACAGGTTCCTCAACACAAAGAGGCATGTGGTCCCTGATCAAGGATGTTGATCATACCAAGACCACTTGGGCCTTAAGGGTGCGGGTGGTCAGAGCATACGAAGTCCCACCTCACTCAAAAGGGGGGGCAACACTCGAGATGGTGTTGCATGATGAGCTGGTAGAAAAACATATTCACAGAATTTTCATTTTGATATCAAAAACATATTTTGATATCAAAAACATATAATACTATATTATCATAATAATATTATTACTATTATTATTATATTATTATTATATTCACACTGCCCACATTTGGTATTTAGGGAGACTGCATTCACGCTATAATAAAGAGGCCACAGGTGGAGGTTTACAAGACCATGATCAAGGAAAACAAAACTTACGCTCTGAGGACGTTTTTGGTCCTGGACAACTACCAAACCGTCAAAACAAGTGACCATCCTTATTTGATTCAATTCATCAGCAAAACTCAGTTCACCGAAGACACTAGGACAGAGTTGCCAATTATGGTGTACGACTTTCAGCCATTTGACATGCTGCAGGCTCAACGCGTCGTCAACGACAAAAATTGATTGGTGAGGACAACCCAAAACTTTTACAATTTAATTTACTGAAATAAATATCTTATGCTGGAATTTGGTAATAGATGTCATAGGCAAAGTCATATGTAAGAGCGGCGTTCAAAACCATATCATAAGTGGAAGGGCTGAGAGGATGATGGAGTTGACATTAGGAGACCCTGAGTGAGTTTTGTTTAAACATTTTATACAATCTCGACATAAGAGAGAAATTGTTCTGGAGCATGAATAATATCTATTATTAAATAACTTTTATAAATTGCAGAGGGAACCGACTCGGATGTGTATTGTGGAACAAGTACATAGACCAGTATATGGAGTATGTGACCGAAAATGTGGGCAGGCCTGTGTATGTAATTTTTCAGCTATGCAGGCCAAAGAGATACCAAGGTAATCTCTTTTGTAGGGATGTTTATGACCCCTGTCATCAGGCGAAAACAGTATGATGCTAAAAAACTAATTACTCATGACAGGCACCCTATCTGTATCATCTTCATTTGATGTGTCGAAACTGATAATCAATGGGAACTCAAGCGAGTTTATTGAATTTCAAAGCGAGTAAGAATTTTTTGAAAGGGTATTGAAGGCTTATAAAAACTATACTCATAATGAACTCTGCGCTATATTACAGATTTCCTGTGGATGGTGATGACAGCGTCACAGCCACAGTTGTCTCACAATCTTCCCACGGTGATGGGAGCCGGGAAGATGTCCTTGCGGGTCAAGCTGTCATAACGACTATTCAGGAATTGGTTAAGGCTACAGAGGTGTGTACAAGATGACCTATTCTTTAATGTTAGGACATTTTAAACGCTTATGTCAAATATTGTGTTTACAAACAGGATGGGGTTTACTGGATCATCGGAGACATTGTCTCTTGAAAACTATAGAGAATGGTGTTACCTTGGCTGTCCCACATGCTACAAAAAACTAAAACCAGAGGATGATAGGTTCATGTGTACCAATTGCCATGTCACAATGGCAGATGGGGTGTATCGGTAAGAGAATTGCTATGGTATGTAGCTATGATTTTTGTGAATTGAGTCTCACGAAAAATATTTTGCATTCATTTTAGGTACAAAGTCAGCATTTGCATCATGGACCAGACTGGTCATTCAACCTTCATTCTGTGGGACAGGGAATGTATTGAAGTTTTTGGAAAAACATCTGCTTTTCTGATGGCTGAGATGGAGAAGGCAAAAACTTGATTTCAATTTATATGTGAAATTATCAAAATTAAAAAACTTTATGCCTAATGCAAATGGTTTGAATAAAACAGAAGACTGAAGACCAAACTCGATTTCCAGAAGACATAGAAAGCTTGGTTGACCAAAAGGCCCTGTTTAAAATACAACTGAAGTCAAAAAGTGAGGAGAATACTTACAAGAAAACAAAGTCATTTACTGTGGTGACCATGATAAGAGACCCTAAGGTTCTGGCATTGTATGGAGCGGATAAGGAACAAGAATCAGTGCATGACACTCCAACTGAGAAGGTATTTTCAATGGTTTTGGAGTTTATAGAAGATTTACTTTTTGGTGATTCATAGTAAAAGTATATGTTTCGTATAATAGAAAATAATGACCAATACCTTACATTTAGATTGGGTCAAGTCTGCACAATGGTGAAAGTTCTACAGCGAGGAAAAAAGGGAAAGATGTTCAAAAACAAGAGGTACAGACTGTATTACTCTTATACATTTGTCTAAGTAGGGTTATATATTAAAGAGATATGCTTACATTTTTTCTTAAAAAGGTCGTCGATGCAATTGACCTACCAGACTCACCCCCAGTGGGTACGCAGAAGGTGGTGGAAGTGGAAATGGATGGACAACTCAAAAGGAATCTGATAGATGAATTCTCTACAAGTGGTGTTGTGAAGAAGCTGAAGATAAAAATTAAAGAAGAACCACTCTGAAGAACAAGGGCCAGTCTGTTGGTCGGGACTTATGTTTTGTACTGAGGCATCCTTGGACGTATATTTTGTTTTGTGGTGTTGGGTTGTAGCCTAAAACACATAGTTGGGCATGATTGTGTCTTACTTTTGGCAGTGTGGACAAACTAAGCATGACACTATATTTCTCCTATGGGAACTAAGTACAAACTCTTGAAAAAATGTATTATCGATATGATGATTTCATATGTTTATTTTGCAGGACACCGACAACACTTCAACAGTTTGTGAGAGTAGATTTAAAAAATAATACTTCAATGTTTATATTCTCCAGGTCATATGAATTTCATTCAGGTCATGGGAGTACATAAGGATGAGGCTAAGGTCAAGGACAATGGACCTTCTAAAGTCCATCGAGGTGATCTAGGAGGCACTAAGCATAGGTTTATATCAAGTCCAAAATGTAAAAATTATTAATGTTGTAAAGCAATGGTTTTAATGGAAAAGTGATATTGGTTTTGCACTTGATGCGTTAGAATATTACGTATGAATACACATTCATGAGTTACAACTGTTAAGAAAGAATAGAAATAAAATGGCAACTGAGTTGGTGAATGGAGTACATACCTCAAACAGCCGTAAAACATCACCTGCATTTCCTATTTGGACTAATTAATATTACAGACCCCTTAAATATATTACATTTTTGGCAACCCTCTAAGGTCCCTAAACTATCCCTAAACAATTTTCTAAGTCAGAAAACTAAGGCAAAACATCCACATTAATGAAGAATTGTGCAATACCTGCAAACAACATAAATTAGTGAATAAGATCACAAAGATTTTACGTAACTGATGACTTAGATGTTATCTTACTCATTTAAAAAAAAGTTTCTGAATTATTGATCAAAACAGGTTAAAAAGCAGTTAAAATGTCATCTTATCTTTTAAAGTTTAACTTTACTCCAAAAAACCAAGTATTTTGCAAAATCTTTTATTATAAATTGTTTCAAGATTGAATATAAGCAACAAGCAATTCGTATAAACCAGGGAATGTTTATTTTCAATTCAAAAATTCAAGTACTGAAATTAAGTTTGTAAAACGAACCATGAAATTAAAAGATTCTTTTATAATGGATCAGCAATATTCAGATATGTATATAACAATAAATGTTTTTAGAAAATGAAATAAGTACATTTTTTCAAAAGCAGTGAATATAGGTACACTTTAAAAAAATTAATTATATATATGTAGTTTGTTATGAGGGATACAGTATTTATAGTACATAGGGAAGTCATTGATGAACTTACCAGCACAACTGGACTGAAGAGCTGCTGGCAATTAATGCAGCTATCAACTGACAGTGTTTTAGAGTGTGTGGCTCAAGGACATTAATGGTGTAAGAGTACTGAAATTAAAGATTTTGTAAAACAGTTATTTATACGAACTGGTGTACTCATAAATTTAAGCACACAGTAGTAGGCGTGTAGGTCAGCTAGCATTAAATGCAGATATCAGCAATATCTCAAAGGAGAATTTTGCATAGGTCTGCTCATTAAATGAGAATAGACAATGTAGGTCTGCTCATTAAATGAGCATACAAAGCATCAAGTGAACTTCATAATTAATTAAAAAAGTACTTACCAATGGCCTATAACCAATATTCCAATCTGTAAGCATATATACCACTTCACTTGCATTAACT